AAAGTGGGCGGGGACTCGATGAGGAAGGGTCTCGGAGGCTGCAGTCAGGAAACTGAAGTGAGTGGGAAACATAATTTTAGGCAGGAAATGACCTGATTGTGTTCTGTGTTTGAAAAGATCACTTGTGACAAAGTGAATGATGACCCAGATGACAGAGAGGCCCTGTATTGGTGAGTCCCACACACTCCATCCCCAGCCCACCTGCTGTCATCCTGGCGCGGAGCTGGGCCCAGACCTAACTGTCAAGTCAGGGAAGATTGCCTTCTTCCAGCACAGACCTCTCATCCGTTGCCCCAGCCTGTACAGCTTCCGATAAAGATGAAAGTGCCCGCGGCAGCTAGCAGAAATCCATCTGCACTAAGGGTTTCCTGACCAAATAGGTCATTGCTCCTGGAAGTGTTTGAATTTAGAAGTAGTCCAAGCCTCAAACAAGTAAGTGAATTGTTAGGGAAGGGAATTCCGCCGCCCAGGGATAGGCCCAGAGGGAGTGTTACAAGGTTTGTTACAAAGGTTAAATGAGGTCATCTGACGGCCTTCCTACCCCCTCACCCCATAGCATCTCCAGTTCCGTCTACACACAATAAGGTTCCCACCCTCCCCCATCCTATAAGATTTTTTTTTTACTTTTTATTTTGAAGTATTTTTATACTTATGAAAAGTTGCAAAAATAGTACAGAGAGTTTCCATAGGTCCTTCATCCCATTCCTCCTAACGTTCGTGTCTTGCAGAAACATAGTGCGATGATCAAAAGTAAGAAATTATTGGGGCGCCTGGGTGGCTGAGTAGGTTAAGCGGCTGACTCTTGATCTCAGCTCAGGTCTCCATCTCAGGGTCGTGAGTTCAAGCCCCGCGTTAGACTCCACACTGGGCGTGGAACCTACATTAAAAATAAAGGTAATAAATTATCGTTGGTGTGATACAAACTAATTTACAGACTTTATTTGAATCGTGCCGTTTTTTTCAGTCATATTTAGGGTTTCTTTTTAAATCACATGACTAAGACAACCATTGAGTTCGTTCTCGTGTGTCCCTTAAATTAAGGCAGCCTTCAGAAAGCCTGCCCTCCCTGGGATCTCTGAGGAGAGCAGCTGTGGGCCTCTCAGGGTCCAAAGTCGGCACAACCCCATTTGGGCATCAGTGAGCAGTATTCTCCATCTTTTCACTTTCCCTACCCCCCCCCCCCCCCCCCCCCTTTCTCCTCCTTTCCTTCTCCCTGCTCGCAAAACTACAGATAGTCTCCACATTCACATGCCCCGTACCATGCAGTGTGCTTTTTCCATCATCAGAGTTCTCTGCTTTAGTCAACTGACCTGAGAAGTTGGCCCAGGAATTTGTAGCTATTGACTTTCACTGTTGCTGTAAAACCCCCTTGGGTTGTGACTTGCAGTGGCAGCATTTCCTTTTCATTGGTCCCGGGTAGATACCCCTATGGCTACCACTCTTAGTGACTATCCCTCATAAGCTCTTTGGGGAGACCCCGGAGGTGGAAGGATATCGGGGTTGGCAACATGGTAACTAAATTACTTTATGAGTTAGACAGCATGAGTCCCCATCACAAAGCATCCCTGCTTCGTCACATCACGCTGAGGTCGCTGGCACATGTCAATGCAAAATTCCATTCACCCTTTCACAATGCACCCTCTTCCCCGCAGAAAGAACGCAGCCTTGGGGCATGCTCACTGCAAGTGCCCTTGCACTATTGGCACTGTGTGCTCCATGTTTTTGAGTTTGCTCAGCAAAATTAATGATGAAAGAAGTGTGAGCTGGAGAGAAAAGCATAGAGCTGATGAATGTTGGAGGAGCATTGGTTTCCCTACAGCCAAAAGCCAGCAGGAAAAATGGAAAGCGTGAAAGGTGATTGTGACTCAATGTCCCAAAGAAAACCTTTTTTGCCACCCGGCACACACCAAGGCATCTTCACAACAGAAAGCCCCTGTGAGCAGTGCAAAAACCTTCATAAACCATTTGGAGGGAAGCTGTATACCACGGTGTACAAGTGCTAGTTTGGGCAAATCTAGCTCTTCTACTTGCTGCGTAAATTTAGACAAGTTCTCCACTCTTTCTGACCCTCAGTTTTCTCATCTGTAAAATGGGGATGATTACACCTTCCCCTTTTTTAGCGGGATTAAATGATTTAATATCAATTGTATGTGTAAGTGAAACTTAACAGTTCCTGGTCCAAAATAAAGGCTCATTTTAAAGTCTCTTATTTATCATTGGGCTGATTTAAAAGTAATACTCAAAACAGGACCATCGTTATAGATCTGACAACATGGTGTAATGGCTTAAGCTTGTACTTTAAGTTTAAATCCAAGCTCCACCAAGAACTGGCTGTGTGAATTTGGGCCAGTTATTTCTCTGAACCTGAGTCTCTCCCTCTGTAAAACAAGGATAATAATGCCACATAAGGGACTACTTGGAAGAAAGCACTTAACGTGGTACCCAGCACAGAGAGTGGCAGACACTTAATAGAGGTTTGTTTTTCTAGCGCTGTGGTTCTCAACCACATTCAAATCACCTGAGAGCTTTTTTAAAAAGCATGCATGCCTCTGCCACATCCCCAGAGAGTATGATTTAGTAAGTCTGAGGTGGGGCTTAGGCATTGGTGTTTTCAAAAGCTTTCTGGGGAGATTCTTCAGAGCAGCCGGGGCTGAGAACTACCCCCTCGAAGATGACATTACACACTGTTTTTTTGTTCTGTTTTGTTTTGTTTTGTTTTGCTTTTTATATCTGTCCCCAAAAGACTGGTCAGAATATCAGGAATTCTGGGCACAGTCAAAAATTCAGTACACCTGCACCTCTAAGCCCTTGATAAGAAATATGCAGCCAAGGAACTGCATTCTTTTTTTTTTATTATTATAAAAAAAAAAGTATTCAAAGAGTCTTTTTAGAGTCTTGAACTGGAAAGGTGGTAAGAAGTTTAGCCTAAGCCTCACACATAAAATATGGGGACTCCCAGTAGGCTGGGGATTTATATCTGGGGTTAATTCCAGGGTTTTGTCCTCCCAAGAGATATAAATTGAGGCCTTGAGAGTTTAATGTGGGGGAGGAAGAAGTGTTCTCATAACGACACCTTAAAAGTCCAGGACTCTGCTAATGCCTAGGGATAGAAAAGCATCATCTGTAATAGCAGGGGGTGGTGTGGCTGTGCATTCTAGTCTCAGTACTTTGGTTTCCAAGATCCAAGGCTGGGTCATCGAGAAACTTCTTTCTCCCCATAGGTTTACAGTATTAGTTACCCAATAAAAGTGGAGTTAATTTTACAACCCAAGTAAAATTTAAGCCAAAAAGGCTTCAGCATTACTCTAGGATTTATGAAAGTAAACATGTAGAGTGCTTGCAGGATTTTACAACATTAAAATTTCAATGTCTTCATGTCAGGTATGTGATATATTCATTTGTATGTGCACTTACAGGTTAAGTTTTTAAGAGCTTTGCAATGCAAACTGTTTTGGGAACTAAAGTGAAGATACTTGCCCCCCATCTCTACCTGTAAAAAGACTGTTAGAGTGAATAGGAAGTAGAGAGCTGCTGGAAACTGGTCTTTTAATGATCAGCTTTATCAAATTTTTTTCACCTGGTTTCCTTTTAGAGTGGGCTTTCTAGACTCCCACACTGAACCCCCAAGGAGGGATGTCTAGGGCCATCAGACTGACTAGAGTCGATTTTACAGAATAGGAGCTTAGTAAATAATTGTCCTTTAAATAAATGTCTTCTTTGGTAATCATAAATACTTCCATAATAAGCATGTGTTACCTCTGAGTAGCACTTTGTAAGAGCATTTACGTTGTTTGATAGGGTCCTCCTGACTTTCACTTATAGGGTAGAGAGGTCAATGATTATCTTCAACTTATAGATAAGAAGACCATAGCTCAGAGGACTCAGATTGGCTAAGGACGTGCAAATGTTAAACCCAGGAATACAATTTCCTTCTGACTTTGGCTCTAAAGTACTTTAACTTAGAAGAAACCGAAGAGGAAAACAGATCTTTTTATTCAGACAATGTACTGATTCCAGCCATGTTAACAGAGGAGGAGCCTCCAGGGTGAGGTCAGCCCAGGAGCATAGCAAGTGGCCTTTTGTTTGGCTGTGGTCTGCTTTTGAGAACCAGCTGGATATTCTGTACTCTGGTGTCTTGTGCTTATGGTAGGCCCTCGTGGGATGTTATAGCCTCTAGCCTTTCAAGCTGAAGCTGCCATCTTGGGTCCAACCCTCCAGCCTTCGATCTCCAGCCATTTGCCACACTGACGCTAACCACACCGTCTGGCATCCCCTCGTCTTCAGAATAAAATCTACTCCCCCTACTTTTTTTATTATTATCATTTTGAGGCAACAGATTTTTTAAAGATTATTTTTAAAGTTGTTGGAGATCACGAAACCACAATTTTCATTGACACGTACTCTAGATTTCCTGGAATTTAGTGACTCATTTGAAATTGTGCAGCCCCTGGGTTGCCTAGACGTCTCTATGCTGGGTAGAGATAATGGGTCTTAAGCAGTGAAGAGCCACGTAACTGCGCTGCCCTCTGGTTTCTTTCCAGCTGCACCCAGCTTCTCACCCCACGGAGCCTCCTAATTGACACATCAGTTGGAGTGGATCTTGTGGATAATGTACCCACAGCTTTGTAGCAAATGAAGCAGAAATAGTCTGTGCTTAAAAAACAAAAAACTGTAGAACATGTGCCCAGATTCCCAACTCATTTCCTCTTTACTTTTATAACTACATCACCACCAGCTGCGAAAATAAAAGTGCTTTCTCCCCTATTTAAGGATGACTTTGCGCTTAAGAATGATTCTCTGGGGGTGAAGGAAACTTGACCAACGTGACCAGCAGATGTTTTAAGTGATGGGTGGAACTGAGGAAAAGCCGGACTCCTTAGCCCTGCCTTGGGGCTACTGTGCTCAGCTTCTCCCCCTAGCGACTGTTTCGGACATGACGCAGTGAGAGCCAACTGGATGTAAATGTATACCAGCCCCTAACGTTTGTGCTCTGTTTCTAGAGATGAGTTTGAAGAAGATGGATTCTGTCAGCCGTACAGAGGGATTGCATGTGCAAGATTTATTGGCAACCGCACTGTCTATATGGAGTCTTTGCACATGCAAGGGGAAATAGAAAATCAGATCACAGGTACGTAACACCAATGAAACTGTATTGATACCTTGTATAACTCTTTTTCTCACCAAATGTTTTCTTGAGCTTCTCTCTTGACAAAGGATTGGGCTAGTAGCTCATGCTACTCTACCATGTTATCTCAGAATACTGACATGTGTCCTTAAGGAGACCAAATGAATTATTTCAGGAAAGAAACACATTGTACGTTCCTCTCTGGGTAAATGCAATTGTCCTTTGGGTAACTTCTGACCTTAATTTCCAACTAGAAGTAGGGGGGTAATTTGTTCATAAACTGGATGATTTGTTGATAAGCTGATTCAAGCTTTATTACAATTAGTTTAGTTTAGTCGAAACTCTAAATTATACCTTAAAAAGTATGGTTTTCATTTCAGTGACCTTCCTGAAGCAATCAGAACAATCTAATCTCAAAGGATTAGGGATTAGGAGCTGGACCACAAAGAAGCAGGAGATACGACCTTTGTGTTCTGTAATGTTCATTAGAATACTTTATTGAAGGTTGTTGCTCTTAGAGGAAAAGGGTGCTCTGAAAAGTCTCACATTCATTCAGACACTCGATAAAGATTATTAGTGTTTTTGGGCATACCAGGAACTGGATGGGGCACTGGGAATATGCCGGTGTGGTCAATAAGCCAGCTTACGTCACTGCCCTCCTAGAGGTTACTGCTTGGAGACAACATCGTGTAGACTGAAAGTCGTGTAAACTCTAAATCAATTTAGAGTCTAGAATTCTGGACACCAATACTGTGACTTTGGGGAAATCTCTTATTCTTCATGAAAATCTCTCTCTTCATCGGTGGAGTGAGTGATCAGGCAAGATGATCATAAGTCTCTTCCTGCTCTAGCCTTCTCTATTTTACCCTTCATGTTTCTGAATCAAAAGTATCTTTTTAATGGAAATCCAATAATGACACACTCTCTAGCATGCATGAGCAAAGCACTGTAGGTCACCTTGTACAATTTTGTACACCTGGTTCTGGTGGTTACAGCAGCCTTGTGTTTCTTCCATTCGTATAGGTATGCTCCGTTGCCACGTACACTTGCAAGCCATTAAAATTGCCTTTATGGGATTCTAATAAGGTTGCCAGCTTTAGCAAATAAAAATACAGGACACCCAGTTACATTTGAATTTCAGGTAAACAGTGGATAATTTTTTACTCTAAGTATGTTCCAAATGTTTACCTGAAATTCAAAGGAAATGAAGTGCCTTGTAGTTTATCTGGCAACCTTAGGATTGAACAGACCTGAGGCAGGTGCACAGAACAGCAAAGCATCTAGAAACTATGTCCTGAGGAATATGAAGGAACTAAGAGGAGCCCAGCGGAGCTATTTAACCTAGAGAAGCAACTATAGAAAGCTGGATTTATCACCTGCTAAAGAACTTTCAGGAGGACGAACTCTGAAATGCCAGAGGACAGAAGCAGGACTGACTAATGGGGAGGGCTGTTGAAGGCACATTTCAACCTAATATAAGAACATCTTAACATAGTTTTTCGCTAAGTATTCACAAAAATAAATGGGAGTTCCGATGTAAATGTTTCATCACCCACTTGTAATAATCATCTCTTAGACATTTTCAATGGACATCTGCTTACTGGAAAATATTACAGTTAAAAAAAGCCACTTAATTTTGTGTAACCTGGCATTTCCCAAACTTGTTTGGCTCTGGAACCCTAGTTTCTCAAACACTATGACTATGCTACAGAGCAACTGTTCTGAGGAACATACATTGGGAGACAGCGCACCAACCGCCCCCAGGCTGTCTCATGAGGTAAAGCTCCTTTCAGTGCAAAGGGAGGCAAGTACTCTTTCCGTACGCGGATGCCGAGCTGAGTAAGAAGTCAGGCTAAATGACCACCGATACGCAGCCTGGAATGACTGCATTGTGCTTTTTTGAGAACTTCCAAGAGAATTGCCTCATTTTCAGGAGATGGAATAGGGAATATCAGAGACACAAAGAAATTAAACAAGTTACCCAGAGTCACCCACCTCAGAGGCAAGACACAGAACCAAATCCTAGGATCAGGCTCCGCCACTGCAGACAGCAAGTTCTGCCCTGCAGCTGTCAAATGTTTTAGAAGTTTCATAAAACTAATAAAAAAGTACCGGATGAAACACAAAGTTCTGTTGCTTTGTAGTAAAAATGAAAAATATATTGTGCTTTAACCTAATTAATTCTTTTTATTAGGCAATGGTACATATGTAACTTAATCCTGTTTTTTTAGCTTTGTAGTCAAAATGATTTTTTTCCAAGCCAGTGAAAGTAAGCCTCTTGGACATCTGAACTGAGTCTCCTCTTGACCTTGTCTGAGTGCAGCGGATTCCTTCCAATGTGTGTTTCTATCTGGTATCTGTTGACCAGATAACCAAAGGAGATCAACCCTGGCCCCTGGGAGTTAACAACTGTGTTTGTTTTCCAGCGGCCTTCACCATGATCGGCACCTCCAGCCACTTATCTGATAAGTGCTCCCAGTTTGCCATTCCTTCCCTGTGCCACTACGCCTTCCCGTACTGCGATGAGACCTCACCCATCCCGAAGCCCCGGGACTTGTGTCGCGATGAATGTGAAATCCTGGAAAATGTCCTGTGTCAAACAGAGTACATTTTTGCAAGATCAAATCCCATGATCCTGATGAGGCTGAAACTGCCAAACTGTGAAGATCTCCCACAACCTGAGAGCCCTGAAGCCGCAAACTGTATCCGGATTGGAATTCCCATGGCAGATCCTATCAATAAAAGTAGGTGGTAACTCCTGACCTTCTGTGCTGCCTGGGGGCCGGCAACCCCATGGCATAGTGAAAACTGGACCTCGATCTGTAGCAAGGAATCTTACTGGTAAACAGGCAGATTACCTTCCAGTGGGCTAAATGTTGTGTGGGGGTGGAGCATTCAGTGGTGGATTAGATGCTGTCCCTATCCTTAAGAAGCTTCATGAAGATGGTAATTTTTGAAGATGGTTGCTGGTTCTTCAGTGACTTAAACAGAATTGCCATTTGACCCAGCAGTGCCACTCCTGGGGGTACACTCACAAGAATTTGAAAAAGGGATCAGGCTCTGCCACACTTGCATACAAGTTTTCATAACAGGTCTGTTCACAATGGCTGAAAGGTAGAAACAACCCAAGCGTCCATCGGTGGATGAGTGGATAAACAAATTGTGGTATATCTATATAAGGAAATATGATTCACCCATAAAAAGGAATAAAATCCTGGGGTGCCTGGGTGGCTCAGATGGTTAAGCATCTGTCTGCCTTCGGCTCAGGTCATGATCTCCAGGTCCTGGGAGCAAGTCCCACATCGGGCTCTCCCAGCTCAGCAGGGAGTCTGCTTCTCCCTCTCCCTCTGCCTCTCCCTCTGCTTTTGCTCTCTCTGTCTCTCTCTCAAATGAATAAATAAAATCTTTAAAAAAAAAAAAAGGAATAAAATCCTGTTACATGCTACAACAGGGCTGAAACTTGAAAGTACTATGATAGCCAAAGAAGCCAGACACCATTGTATGATTCCATTTCTATGAAATATCCAGGACAGACAAACCCATGGAGACAGAAAGCAGATTAGTGGTTACCAGGGTTGGGGTGGGGGGCTTGGGGAGTGACTGCTGAATGAGTATAGGGTTTCCTTGGGGGTGATACAGGTGTTCTGGAATGAGATAGTGGTGAAGGTTGCACAATATTTTGAATGTTCTAAATACACTAATGGTAAATTTTTTGAGCTGTATATTGTACCACAATTTAAAATACATACATATACATGGAGCTTGCCTCTATCCACTGTCCTCTCAACTCTGTTCCTCTATAACTTCCCATTCACCTAGAATTAAACTCACCAGTAGTTTTTTAGTTTCCTTTTGTAATTTAATATTATGCTATTAGTTAAATGAATTAATGCATCTAAAATGCTTAGAACTATGCTTAGCACTTAATAATAGCAATGTCTTCATTATTGCTATTATTTTATCATTACCCCTCCATATTTTGATTTATTTCAACTCAAAGGATTTTTGCAGTGCTTTCAAGTAACAGCCTTGTTGTCCCCTGGGAAGAGGACTTCCTTCTCAAAAAGACCCAGTCCTTCAGCACAGAGTGGCCCTAACTCCTATTAGAAACCTATACGCACTGTTCCTAGTGAACATTTTCCGGGAACTAGATTCTTTATCCCACGAGTCATGTCTAAAGACATCAAGCAAAAATGGAAAGAAGAGTTCAGCTTGAACCTTTCCTGAACCATTCACTATGAAATTACTCCTGTGCCCCCGAGTCCCGCCCCCAGTTCTGATTTGTGTGTGTGTGTTCAGTATTAAAAATACTTGTGGAGGACTGGTTTTATTCCTGACGCATAAGCTTTAAATCCTCCCCGGAATGTAACTGCCAGGCAGGACCGGTGTCCTAGCCCAGCAAGCAGGGAGACTGCCCACATGGCCCCTGACCGGCAGGGAAGCCTTAGCCATGAGGTTAATTGCAAGTCCTTCTTCCAGAAACTGCTGTCTGGGAGCTCTAGCATCTCTTGTTTCTTTCTCACAGTTTGGGCCATTCTCCCTTCCGTTTTTCAGATCACAAGTGCTACAACAGCACAGGTGTGGACTACCGGGGAACCGTCAGTGTGACCAAATCAGGGCGCCAGTGCCAGCCATGGAATTCCCAGTACCCCCACACGCACACCTTTACCGCCCTGCGTTTCCCAGAGCTGAATGGGGGCCATTCCTACTGCCGCAATCCAGGGAATCAGAAGGAGGCTCCCTGGTGCTTCACCTTGGATGAAAATTTCAAGTCTGACCTGTGTGACATCCCAGCCTGTGGTAAATGCCTTTAACATATTCAGGGACTTTTAAAAGAGCCCCTCTCTGTCCCCCTGCCCTTAGCAGAATCGATAAGGGGGCAAAGGAGAGTGGTAGTGTTTGCTAGATCCCAAACTATGCTTCTGAGGCAGATAAACCTTGTTGCGTCTATATGAAACACCTTTTAGGGTACCAGCTCACACTCTCGGGGAGCAAAATGCTTTATTCCCACAGCCGTTGTGGTTAGTGGGTATAACAGGCACAAGGGAACCAGCTCATCACAATCAGTCATGTAGAAAAAGACATTGCCCTCCATGGTCCATGTCCATGTGCAGCCATTTTAGCACGACAGATGTACTGGAAGCCAAAAGAGAACTGTTTTCCCTTTGTCCTTGAGAACACTCACGAGGTAGGATGAATCTACAGGTGTTACTCAGTCATCCAGGGCAGTGTGTAGCTAAACTGTGTCGTCTGTGGCATCCTTTTATGCCACAGAAGTGTGGGAAGAAAATGAAAGTCCTGAATCAGTTTGTTCCATTTCCTAGAAAAATGTTTGGAGGGTAGGAGAAAGAGAATGAAAATAAGGGTGAAACCTGGAGTTTGGGACTGTTTTGGAACTGACTCTTCTTCCTGATCCTAGTTCTCATAGATGATGTCAGCTGGGCTCTCCCGGCATAGAGTCCAGTGTCACTGCAGGGAAAGCCATAGCAGGAAAATGGACATAATAATAACATCCACCTGGGGGGTACTGGGAGAATAAATGGGTTGTTAAAAAAAAACTCTATGATGTCTTGAAGATAGTAAATGCTTAACCAATAATATAGTCAATATATATAAAAAGGAATCTACTATAATTGGTATGTAGTCAACAGAGAAAGAGGAATGTTTGCTCTCAGTTTAGCAAATATTATTTGAGAGCCCACTGTGGAGCAGGGGTTTTGAAAGAGAAATAAAATGTGATTCACATTACAATCACAATGCAGTGCGTATGATGCAATAGAAGTTAGCACGAATGTTATGGAACAAAGAGGAAGCTAAAACATACTAAAGAGGCCCATAAGAAGAAGTAATAAAAATGTTAAAAAGAAACTTTAGTGATGAAAATGTGGGTAACTGTTATTCTATAATTTCATTCTTATGTGTTACCTGTTACTATATTGTCTTCTCTTGCAAAATGAGTTTATGGGTGGTTAAACATGCCAAGCTGGAGAAAGAGGTGACCAGACGCCTTTTGTATTGCTGGGCTTTAAAATGCCTTCATATACAGCATAAAGAACAAATTATGAAGTAAAACTCTTCCAGAGCCACCGTTGGAAACTTCAAAGCAAATTATCTGGTATTTTTTAAATGGTGTGCCCTTAATAATTCATGAATTTTCCCACATGCTATATTCAACACTAATACGAAAGGAATTAAAATAAAATGTAGATTTATAATCATTTACTTAGTTGTCCACCATTTTTCCTAAACCAGATAAAGGTACAAAGATCTATAAGAGAGTCAAGGATGAAAAGCATCACTAACTGAGCACCTTCCATGTGTCAGGCATGGTGCTTGAGGCTTTCATAGGCTTTATCCTTGCCCTTCCACTGTGATGGGTATTATTAACCCTATGTTGCTGATGTTAAACCCAGCTACCTAATGGCATGTCTGTCTGACTCCAACCTCATCTTCATGCTACTCTACCATGTTATCTCAGAATACTGACATGTGTCCTTAAGGAGACCAAATGAATTATTTCAGGAAAGAAACACATTGTACGTTCCTCTCTGGGTAAATGCAATTGTCCTTTGGGTAACTTCTGACCTTAATTTCCAACTAGAAGTAGGGGGGTAATTTGTCCATAAACTGGATGATTTGTTGATAAGCTGATTCAAGCTTTATTACAATTAGTTTAGTTTAGTCAAAACTCTAAATTATACCTTAAAAAGTATGGTTTTCATTTCAGTGACCTTCCTGAAGCAATCAGAACAAATACAGACTCTGAGGGATGAAAGAAATCCTTAAACAGTCTTTCAGACTGTGGATAGAGAGAGAAAGATCACTTACATCTCACAAAACACTTACCATGTGCCTGTACAGTGCTCCACACTTTACATATTCATGTGCATTTAAAACTCATATCCACACTGGAGGGTAAGTGTTAACGTAGTCCACTGAGGTTCAGAAGGGCTAAAGGACTGGTCTACATCATACAGATGATGAGATTGGACCGGAACCCTCCTCTATCTACATATAACTCTGACCAAACTCAAAGCTTACAGCTCTTTTCCCCAGACACGCTGCTAGTTCCCATTTAAAGATTTTTTTCGGAAACAGATAAAAGAATGACAATAGGCTGCACTTCTGGATTCTAGTATACGGATTCTCATAGTATGCTATGACATCAAAAAGTGTTCCCTTACCGATGAGGAAGTCCACCCTTGTATTACTCTGTATTAGCGTAGTATTAATCAGTACAGTGATGTTAGAAACCCTGAGACCCTTTCTTTCTGAATATCAGTCCACTGAGGACAAGTTAACATTCTGACCACTGGTTAGTTCTCGTCATGTGAGAGATAAATTTAGATGAATGCTAAATCTAGAGATGACAAGGGAGTTTTCGCCACTTACAATAATTTTTATCAAAAAGAGCATCTTCATTTCATGTTGAAAGGAAACAGTTCCTCTTGAATTCTTCAAGCTAAGCCACAAGTACATCCATTAAAGGCACAGGGAATCCTTGACATTGATCAAGAAGCAGCTGCTGGGAGGCCAGTGGCTCCCCAAGGGGGAATTAAAGAAGAAAGCAGGTTGGCATCAGCTGTTGTCATTGGGCAAGGCTTCTCGGAATTGCCCCTCAATAGACCACCTCTAGCAACTTAGTCATAATAGCATAACACTTCCTGTGAGCATTGATTTTATTTCTCTTTCATTCTTATAAAAATTATGAAAGAGAAAGTAGGAATTTCCTGCTCTCTTTTACCATATGAGAAGACCAAGGCCCAGGGAAGTGGTAGGACTTACCCAAGATCACCAATCAACAAATAGAAACCAGGTCTCCTACTTCTCGGACCACTCACTGCTCTTTGTTCTGTACCAATGCTTCCCAAACGGCAGAGGTTTTGTCTCCCAGGGAACATTTGACAATGTCTCAAGATGTTTTGGTCACCATTCCTGGTTGTGAGATATTACTGGCCTCTACTGGGTGGAGGCCAGAGATGCTGCTAAAACAAGCTAAATGCACAGAATGACCCATACAAAGAATTATCCAGCCCAAAATATCAACAGTGCCAGGGTGGAGGAATGCAGAAACTGGTTAGGAATTATACAATATAAACTATAGAATAACAATAACATTAAACAATAATTGCCATTTATTGAGTGCTTACAATGAGCCAAAGACCAAGAGTTTTTTATGCATTATGTCATTTATAATAGTCGTATAGCCCTGTGAGTTGGGTTTTATTCTACCCAAGAAGAGAAAACTGAGACTTAGAATAAGTAACTTGTCCGAGGCCACATGGTTAATAAGAATTGAACTAAGGACTCAAACCTAGAGACGGTATGTGTGTGTCTGTTGGATGGATGGATGGATAGATAGATAGATAGATAGATAGATAGATAGATAGATAGATGATAGACAGATGATAGATGATAGATGATAGATAGATGATAGATAGATAGACAGATGATAGATAGATAGATAGATAGATGATAGATGATAGATAGATAGATAATAGATAGATGATAGATAGATAGATAGATGATAGATAGATAGACAGACAGATAGATAGATGTTGAGAATAACGTTTCATCTTACCCTGAGCTGAAAGCTTGTGGGGCAGATTTGAAATGAGTCCTTTTCCTTCTGCCTCCCAAATGGGATGGAGTCCCTACATTCTTTAGTTAAGTCAGAGTTAAGGAGATTTCAAAATCTCCATGTGGTGTCTCATTTGCCTACCAATAACTTGTTTTCATTTCAACCAAGTAAGGCTAAAAGAAGTATAGGCCTAATTAAATGCAGAATGTGAGCCTTTGTTGTACTTTGTAGAGTAAAGGCATTTGAGAATGGCCTACCACCGACCGTCTTATCAGCAAACTTTCACTCTAAGACAGAACATAAAATTAAACACAACCAAATATGTCTGGTATGAACTCTGGGGATTGGCTCTGCTAGGACACTGTGCTTGTGTCCAAGTAGTGCTGGGAGGAAGTGAAAGGACCAAAGATATTTTGGGCAAGACCTGACCTGTCCTTGACCTCTCATCCTCCATGTCATTCACTGAAACTCAATATGTGTTGAGCTTCTACTATGCTTCAGACTTTGTGAATAGGGTAGATCAAAGCATGCCCTCGTGTAGCTTACAATCTAGTGAAACAATTAGATGGAAAAAATATGAATCACGTTAAGCACTGTTTCATAGTTCCCAACATTTATGTGCGCTGTCATGCACTTGGCATTTTCATGATGACTGTTGTCTGTTCTTTAACACCAGCCTCTGGCCTATGATTTAGTTAATGCTTAATAAAATGTGTTCAGTGAATGAATCCTCATAATCACCACAGGGTAAAGGTATCCTTTCCATTTTACTGATGGAGAAGTAGAGGCAATGTTGTTTTTCCTCCAGCCAACATTCAAACCAGGTCCAGGGGACTGTAGGTACAGTCTTCTGTCTACCATGGCACAACTACCTAAAGAACAAATTCTAGATGATTCAGAGGAATAAACATTCCTTTCTCGTTTTCCTCTTTCCTTTGATCATTATGGATTCTCTAGATCTTTGGGATGCTGTCCATTGATTTTCTTGTTTGCAGCTCCACACATGCAGGGGTGGAACCCCCAGCCACAAAGGCATCTTCTCTGAGAGACCCTACATGCTCCACTCAGCCTCAGCCCCGATGAGGACTAGCTCCATGCGAGGCTCGCAGCGTTTGCCCATTTCCCGTTAAATCCAGCTCTCCTCCTTCCCGGCAGCCCCAGATCCCCAGTCCTCAGAGTTGGCCATTTTCCCTGAGAGCCTGCCTGCAAACCTTCATTC